ATCGAAACATACTTTTGATTTGGTGTGGCCTGCGTTAATCCAAGTCTCATCAAGATAATATATTGTTTGCTTTTCTTCTCTGTACCGTTTTATTTTTTGTGGCGTAGGACGAAACAATTTTATTTTTGTCTAAAAGCAAACTATTTTTTCCTCGAGTTTTAAATTTAAAATTAAGGGTTTTGAAAAGCTTGTAAAATGTAGCTCGCTTAAAAGTAGACAAATATGGATCATCGTTGACTTCTTATAAAACCTTATCAATTGTTGGAAGTTAATTTCTAAAGAAGAATTGATGTACTTTATCAAAATCATCCACAGAGCCACTAATTTGTTTATAACGTAGCTTTCTTTTTGGTTCAGAAAATGTATGAATCTGTCTATACTCCTTCATAACATTAAAAACTGTTTTAGCGCACATCCCTGTTTTATCAGCAACTCTCCTTTCAACATCATGTACCAACATATCAGGGTTCTATAAAATTTAATGCTTATAAATATTAAGAACCATTTCTTTAGTACGGATGACCAAATGTCCCTTTTTCAGTCGCTTTTTAGAAGGAGTAAAAACATTTTTCTGGGCTTCATCTGCTGTATCTGTGGAGGACATAGTGTCACGCAGCAATTACAAAATATAGTCAATTAAATGTCCATAAAATAGAGTAAAACATGTTCAAACTAACAACAACCACAAAAACAAAAAAAATAAATAACACAATATATGTATATCTAAACTATAATATAATGAATTATAATCAAACATACAAAATGTCCAAACTAACCAACACGGTGAATGCTACCAAAACGCCGTTTATAATTATCCAAATTGAACTGAATTCTACTCTTGACAAAAAATATTTGCGCGTCGTCTAAATGACTAACGACCGATTAACCATTAGAAGCGCAAAAAAATGTCACGTGAGCTGTTGCTAGATGGGAGAAATTGTTTTGACGCGGCGTAAATGAAATTTGAATAGACTTTAGTTTGTTTAATTTTTGTTTATATTTCAAATTTAGGTTGATTTGTAGTCTCAAAAGTCAAATTTAACCCTCTAGCCGGAATGTCCGACAAAAGGCGGGCTTCGGGTAATTCACTTGTTTACATCTGGTAACAATTTTTTTCGCCGAAACGTGATAAAAAGATATTTGTTAGTTCTCACTTTACTTACTGTAATAAATTTGAGATTTGTATCGTATCTCGTTTTGGGTCTGTCGCCAATTGAAGTTCATCTGTTTGTGCGTGCATACGTATAAATTAGGGTTGAAAATTAACATTTTTTGTTAAATTAAATAAAATATTTCTCCTGGTGCTACCGGAATAAAAAAAATATTGGTAAGTTGTATTTATTATATACTTTCATAATATCAAATAAGTTTTGTGTTTTTTAAATTAGAAATAGTGATTTGATTGAAATATTAGGGGCCTGCCTTTTGTCGGGTATTCCCGTGTACGCTAAGTTTTCTCGCACCAATAAATTCTCGTGTTAGTGATACTTCCTTGTTTATTTTTAAATTTGTTACTTGATTTTTCTTTGTTTTGTCGTAGATAGACGATTTTTATTTATAGAAAATGAAATAAATGATGAATGTAGTATTTTTTTGCACAGAAATTCCATCAGAAGAAGAAAAGTCAATAAATAAAGTTCCCTACACTGATATTCGATAATATTTTTAAAATTATCTGATTGGACAGTATATCAGACCCAGAAAGACAATAAAGCTGTACATCTTGCCTCGACGTATGTAGGTGTGAAACCTTTTCGTTCTGCGAATCCGAATAAGCAACCAGATAAAGTCGCCCATTACTCTCGAACCGAAAAGACCTACGGTGAAATTAAGTGTCCTTGACTTATCCGGTAATACAATCATCATCACATGGGTGGTGTTGACCTGATGAATGGTCTAATGGATCGGTACCACATTGGTTTGAAAACCAACAGTTCCTCTTTGAAATTATTATCATATGCTGGACATGTCGTTAACAAATGACCATCTTCTTTATCGACACGTTCATGCAGGTCGAACAGATTATCCTGTTCGGACGACTTTCAGAACCGAAGTTGCTCAGTTGTTAATGATCAATCAGGCACTTCCAGATAGAAAACCAGTTGGTCAACCATCTCAGGTCTCTAAAAAAGCAGATAAACAATCATCTGGTGTTCGTCGCACGTATTCCAAAAGATGCTCAAGTCGATGACATTGGTCATCGTCCAGATCAATTAGACCGTAATTGCAAAAGAACGTGCAAGTTACCTGGCTGAGACCCAGGTTTACTGCATGAAGTACAAAGTAAATTTGTGTCTAATTTCAACTAGGAAATGCTGGCCATACATACCATATTTGGTTTTTTTTTACCTAAATAATTTTTTTTTATATCTATCTTCTCTTATTGTTCTTACCTATTCTAATATTATTACTTTTATCGTGTTTTGACTTCTAATAACTATGTATTTCATCCTTTTTAGTGAGAATATAAACAACAAAATAATACAACCCGTCTTTTATTTTATACGTTCAACGGAATGCCCGCCTTTTGTCGGTCTACCTATTTTTGCACCTGGAGATCAAACCACTTGACCCATCGAAAAATGGACTTCATTTTCGTGATCAGTGCCTTCAATTTACCCCTATATAAAATTATGAGTTTAAACAAAAATATTCCTGTTAGAGGGTTAATAAGTATAAACTTCTAACTTGTCATTGACATTTTATCACGTGACCAAATAAAGTCTAGAGCGTTTGTTTATTACATCTACATTCAGATCTAATTCTCTATCACGTGACAAAAAATTCACAACATCTCAGATGCATCCGATGTGGATTCTCAAACGCGGCAAAAGAAATCGAAGATATAACCACAGAACACTTACCCAGAACGGTATCTCCCATGTTAAAAAAGTATGATAGAATTTTCAGCGGCACCTGGTGGACATGGTTGATTTTTTTCAATTAAGTCCTTGTCTGGTAAGAGGCCATATAAAAGAAGAGAAAATAATAAAAAGAAGAATGACAGTAAAAATGATATGCATTAAAAACTGTTAGCCAACAGGTATCGGTAACTGGTATAGCCCGAGCTGAAACTATATTTTTGTTTCAAAGAACAGATTCTAGATGGCGCTGTACACAACAATTTACAGAAATCTACAATTGATGGTGGAAAGAGTGGGATTGTTATTTGTCATTGTCAGGCATCCATTATCGATTACCTCGCGGTGAATGACATTTGCCATTTTACCTGTATTTTTTGTGATTATCAATATCATATTGTCAATAATTATTATTTGTTTGTATTTGGGTGTGCTCTGGATCCTGGATGAATAAATAGTAAGTATTTTGTAAATAATTGTTTATTGTATTGTCAACTTGGTCTTGTTCAATTGTGTTTTAAATGTTCAATTTATTTACTTGATCTTGCTGACGATTGAGCTTATTTTAAATTTTTGTGGTCATTTTTAGTTATAAAAGCTGTAATATATCGTATTGTTGTATGCCAAATTGTTTTGTAAACACTCTGGAATCCTAATAACGATTTATTTCAAAATTGAGTATTGGGTGTTCGCAGTCCATTTTTCAAGAATAAAACAACAAATTTGTAAAAACTATTTAGTATGTGATAAACATTTTGAAGATATGTTAAGTTCTTGGTGCACGCAGCGATCTAACTGTATTTTCATTTGTTCTAGTACAAACTTTTTCAAGCCGTTTGGAGTGGCAGTATTGCATCGTTGAAGACAAAAACAGCCTAGTCAGGGAAGTAATAGTCACTGTACTTTTTGTATTCATGCCTCACATTTGATTTTTATATTGATTTAGTTCAGATTGTTACTTTTACTGTTTTTTATTTGTTCTAGTACAAACTTTCTTCAAGCCGTTTGGAATGGCAATATTGGATTGTGGAAGACAAAATAGCCTAGTCCGGGAAGTAATGGTCAGTATACCTTTTTTTATTTATGCCTCACTTTCTGTGCTCCCCAACAGATTTGAAGGGTTCAGGAAAAAAGGGGGCCCAGTCACAATTACCAAAATGTTCAGAAAACCAAATTTAATTTAGACTGACTAAATACAAACTTTTGATACTTTAAGGTAATTGATTACAAAAAGATGTTACTTTGTTTAAATGTTGCCTGATTATATTGTAGTTTACCACTTAATTTACCAGACAGTTGTAATTTTTTATTCTAAATACTGAAAATGACAAACAGTAGGAAAGTCCTTGGACATAATTTTAAATGCACTGTTTTGCATTTGCTAATACTGGTATTTTACAAAATAGGGCGGACCAGTTCAATTTTGATAAAAATGTGGCTTAGCTGCTTTTTTCTTCCTGTACCCTGCTTGATTTATAAGTTGATTAATATTTATTTTTTGTTTTAGATAAAACTCTTCAACCTCTGTGGACAATGACTTAACTTTCCAGCTGATTAACACGCTACATTTAATTATTCTATTTTGTATGTTTTTTTTTGTTTTAATAAATTAATTTTGTTGACCATGCTTTTTAATTTTTTGTAAAAATATTTCAACTTGTAGTCAAGTTAGGATTGGTTCATACTACTCATTTTGTGCTTTATTGTAACAAATATAATTTTATTGCTACAATAAACGTAAAAAAGGAGTTGGTATGAACAAATCTTAATTTGACTACCACTTTTAAACTAAATATTGAAGGACCATTTTGAATGTTCCCGCGTTTTGTGTTAACTAAAGTGACCGCGAGATGGCGCCACTTCCGCCAAATAGTTCAAAGAACGCTCACCGGGTGTTACAAAACTGTCTCAAATTTTAACATTGCAGTTTCCATTCTAAAAGTAATTGTTCTGTGTTAGCCAAATTAAATTTGTTCACACAAACTGCATTTTTGCTTTATTATAGCGAATATCACTATAATAAAGCAAAAATCAATATCTCTTATCATATAGAAGCAAAGCCTAAAACTGTTAATTTTATTAATTTATTTGACTATAAGTTATAGATTATCACCTGAAATGTTTATATTTACTTTTTAGGTTCGTAAAACATTATCTTATGACAAAGAATACATTATAAAGTCAATTGTGGACTTTGTTCATCCTGCCCCGCTAATACCAGTTAATTTTAAACAATATAAAAAAACATGCCGGTTTGTAGCTAAAGACTGTCTGGAAGCCATGATAAAAATACTGGATGCAAAGTGCAATATTCCTCATCCTCGAGATCCAAGCACACCAGTAAGTACTCACTTAATTTTATTAACGCAATGAGTTTTACATTTTTATCTCAAACTCAGGAGAATGCTCCTACACAAATGTTCCATTACCAGTGTTGCCAGATGACCATAATCAAATACCATGCTGTAGAAATGATCGGTTTTTCATGATTTTATCATATAAGATCTTACTAATGGGACGTTATCGAAGGCTGGTTAATTTAAGAGTTTATGAGGTTAGGGTAATTTTATAGAATAAACATATAAAAAAAATAAAACTTAACATATTGTTCAGCTAAAGTTTAAAAAATTATTTTTTCTTGTAATCCTTTCCGATTTTTATCTTCCAATTGTTTTTGTCTATATATTTTTAAAGATGTGAATTTCATTTCATATGTAGGTTTGAAACTTACACATCCATTACCCAAAGGATTTACGCACTTTCCTTTTGTAAAGTGATGACCGGTAAAATTTTCTTAATCTTTGGCATGTTATTGTACTCAACCTAGTAACCAAAAGTGTCAATAGACTCAACTCGATCCTAAGTCTGATTTTCGATATACAGGGTGAAAGTTGAAAATGCTTAGATTTTCAAAATTACAAGCTAGATTGAATGTTAACTATGTTTTATTATTACATTAGTAGGTACTTATGTACAATTAAAAATATTTTCACAATGTATGACTAATTTTAACTATGATGTCAGGGACGCATATTCAGAGTTGGGTCGGATACAGGAAAAAAGTATCCTAGTACCGGATACGGATACTTACAATGTATCAGGATACTTTCACCTAAAAAGTACTCGGATACAAGTATCCGGATACTTTTAAAGTTAGTTAAAATAATATTTTCATACTAATAGTTATAATTATTATGCAATAAGATTGATTACGAGTAACAATAAACAATACTAGGCATAAATAAATTATCGAAAATAGAAAGCGATATAATAGAAACAGGAAAAATCTACTCAATAAATTGTTTATTATTTTTATTCTGTGATTATAAAACATTAATACAAAATGTACAATAAAACATAAAGGTGCGTGTAAATAAAACAAGTCGCGCCTGAACTGCGCCAAAAACCAGCCAGTGTCGTGTCCATATAAATCTAACGAAATAAGCTCGTTGTTGGCGCGACTTGCCATGTTTATACAACCTTTCGATATTCTTGTCAGTGTCAGATGTATTCGACAATCCATTTTTTTTGTGGATCCTCTGACGAGCGGTACTTGGTAGAGTCGAGAGCGTCGAAAGGAGGAGTGAGAGATTGCTGAAGGTTTCGTTCTGGCATAGGCAAAGCAGGCTGGTATATTTGATCTTGTCAGATCTGTATACTTTATTGATGTTGATGACATAAATAACACATGATCAGTAACACTATGAGCGACAACGTCATACATGTATGAGTATATTATAACACATACAATCATTCAGCTATTATTATATTATTTTACTTTTATTAAATGGAAGTAATACCTCGCTGATTTTATTTATATTTATTTGTCAAGCGATTTAAATGAAATTTTGGAGACACATTTTACACGAAATTCTATATTCTCTTTTATTTTTACATTTTTTTTATCTAAGCTGATTTTCCGAGATTTTTTTTTAATTATACCATTTTTAAAAAAACTGGATTTTAAACAAAATAGATACTGAAATTACATTAACTATCTTTAAATTCCAAATGTCTACTCTTTTTCTATTAAGAGGAATCTATTCTCCTATTCTTTACTTGATTTTTATTATTCAAGCGATATATAAATGTATTTTGTTTACACATTTTATGCGAAATTCTAAGACACAATTGCAATATATTGTGTATTAAATATTGTAATACGTATTTTATTTCTAATTATACAGGGTAGCTCAAAGTATTTCGATTATATATTTTAATAGAGATAATATGGATTGGATCAGTTACGATTGTGGTAAACAATTTAAAAGTGTCCGAATGCCGAAAAAAGTATCCGGTATCCGGATACTTACAAATTTGGTCACGGATACGGATACCGGATACAAAATTTGAAAAGTATCCGGATACAGCTTTCGGATACACATAAAGTATCCGGATACTACCCAACTCCGACGCATATTTCTAAAAAAATAAAAGATTTTACAATGCACATTTCTTATAAAGGGTGTTTTATAAAGATAAATAACAACATAAATTATTTTTTTCTACGATTAATTCATAACCCTGTACATATTCCATTTTAAGAAAAGTACAAAAACCTGCGAAAATTTCCCTGTAGTATATAATGCTTTTACAACATTTTTATAAGATGTGAATTTTAAATCCGATACTATGACTAGTTTTCGAGGTACAGGGCGTTAAAATGGAGAATTGCTGATTTCAGTTATTTTTTCTTCAAGCTGAAAAGCTAAATTGACTTTTGTAGCATATATAAATTTTGGTCAGACGTCCATAAAAAGAGACAGTTTAAAATATTTACTGATTCACGAATAAATCACACTATATTTTTGCAACTTTATTGTCCTGTGTATAAAAACTTGTCACAAATATAGAAAAATGATGCAAATACTGATATATTTTGTAGGTAATTATAAAACAGATTACCCTGTATATTTTAAAATCTAATGTAGCGTTATTAACTTACTTAAAAGTCACTAATAATTTCAAAACAATTATTTTTTGTGGTTGGCTGGATGGCTTATCCTGTATAAAAAGTACACATAGTTAAATCTTTTGGTCTTAAAATTGTGAACGGGTAGATAGGGTAAGGATACCAGTAGTTGACAGTGCTCCTAAAAGTCGATACCTCAATTTTATACTACCACAAACAAGAAAAGTTTGCAAATCTAAAACAAAATATATCATTTGGCATCATTGTTAGTACCTACCACTGGTCCATTGAGTGTTGCATACGACAGTCTTATTTTGTTAATGACACAGAAAGGTAACATTGAAAGTGAGTGCATCAGGTGCCATTTTGTGCAAAGTTGTTGTGTGACTTAGTAAGAAGTAAGTATTACCAAATGATGTTAAAAAGTTTTGTTTTAAAAATATTCATTACTTTTAACACGTTGACGACCACGCGTCGCATATATGTGACGAGCAGTTTTTTATGCAAATAACTCCCGGGCGGTTCAACGGAGACAGATGTGTTTTGGCGTCAATTTCTGAGCGTGTCTAGCAAACAAAAAATAGATAAAAAAAACATATATCATATAATATTTCTGTCAAAAAGTTATGCCACCCAAAAAAACGAGGTTGGTTTCTAGCATCGTCAAATTTCATAATACCGGTCGTGAACGTGTTAAATTATGACTGTACTATACTGTTTTTAAACTATACTCTGTTTTTAAACTAAGAGGAGCGATTTGAATTTAAGTTGGCAATTCTGTAGCCTTCTGATTGGTCAGATTACAGTCAGTTTCACACATTACTTTTTAGCATGAACATCAGCTAATAATTGATATTGTTGACAGTTCTTACATTTTATAATTTGATATCTCATCCATTACAGTTTTTTACTTTATTTCGTAAATAATAGTTATTCAGTAAGCAATTGTATTGAAAAATCTACTATTATGGATACTTCTACTATTAAAGGTAACAATTCTTGAAAAGCCTTACAAGAAAGGGAAGATACCTTATTATTTTACATGCTGATTCTGAAGGTTTTGTAGAAAATGCATTATTGGTTTTTGAAGGTAAAAAGATAGGAGATTACCGTGAAGAGATGAATTCCAAAGTATTTAAAAAAAAAATAATTTTATTACTGATTTTTTAAAACTAAAAATTGATGAATTTCTAACCAAAATGATTAAAACGTAAATAAATATTCAAGCAAATTATATTTATTAGAATAGAATAAAACTATTTACAAAATTGTTATAACATTTAAAACACCATCTACTACTTTAGGGACAATCTTAATTTGGCACAATGAGTTAACATTACTTTCACAAAAAATATTTTAAAAATACTTAAAATTAATACATAGGTATGTATGAATAGTTCACTTTAAAAAATATATGTTGACATGTAGTGTTATGAAAATGTTGGTTCCAGTTTTCAAAACAAATTCTGACTCATAGGCCTGTAAACTATTGAATGCCTTTATTTGCCCTCTAGCGCATTAACCATGGGTTAACACTAAATAAGCCATAATATCCACATTACTCATAGAAGAGATACCAGTAACTGTGTGATCCACTTGTCATTCACTGATTAACTTTTACTTTTTATACCTATAACAAATAATATCCTTAAAAATGTAAACAGATCTTTATATTTTATACTAACCTGGCTACATCTGGATATTCCATTAACAATTTTCTTAAATATTTAATATCCATTTTAAAAAGATCATAGTTATTCTCAAAAAGTCGATTTCAAAAGCAAGAAAAAAGTATTTCTGACATCAATCAACAACCATATTGACTTTAATTTGACAGTGACATTTCGTTTTAGACACACATTTCAGATCACAATAATGTGAAATTTGCGACTGTTGTCTGGGACCAATTAAAAAATTACTTCTATGACATTTATTCGTTTCTTAACCGCTCATTGGCCGTTCACCGAGTAAGGCCGATAAAGATAATTATTTAATAAATTTTGAACACGACTTTTATTTCGAAACTCGCTCTTAGTAACAAATCTAGTTACTTTTCCCTGTGTAAATGCATCTTTTCAATTCGCTCCTCCTAGTTTAAAAACAGAGTATAGGAGGAGCGAATTAAAAAGACCCATATACACACGGAAAAGTAACTAGATTCGTTACTAAGAGCGTGTTCCGAAATATAGTCGTGTTCAAAATGTATGTAATAGTTGTTATTATCGGCCCAAGTCGGCGAACAGCCAATCAGTGACTAAGGATCAAATAAATGTCATAGGAGTCGATTTTTTGATTGGTTCCAGACAACGGTCGTAAATTTCAAATTATTGTAATCTGAAAAGTATGTCTAAAATGTATTGTCAGTGTCAAATGAAATTTAATATGGTCGTTGATTTGTTGAAGTTATCAGAAATATGTTTTTCTTGCTTTTGAAATCGACTTTTTAAGAATTGTAATTTTTTTAAATGGATATTGAATATTTTTGAAAATTGTTAAAATAATATCAAGATGCAGGTTAGTATAAAACATAGAAATATGATCGTTTTACATTTACATTCTATTTGTTATAGGTATAAACTTAAGTAAAATGTAATCAGTGAATGGCAACTGGATCACACATTGACTGGAATTTATCCTATCAGTAATATGGAGATTGTAGCTAATTTGGTGTTAACCCATAGTTAATACGCTACATAACACTACATATCAACATTATATCATTACTAAATTTTAACTTAATAATATTCTAGGTCCTTTTAACTCAAGTTGTAATTTTTACCTATATTTTTTTAATTTAAAGTGAAATATTCATACATACCTATACCTATATATTAATGTTAAGTATATACATATTTTTACAATATTTATTATGGAGGTAATGTTAGCTCATTATGCTAAATTAAGATTCTCTAATGTAGTAGATGGTGTTTTAAATGTGAATTAACAATTCGTTAATGGTTTTATTGTCTAATAAATAAAATTTACTTGAATATTTAGTTACTTTTTAATCAGTTTGGTAAAAAAAATTTCAAGTTTTAATTTTAAAATTTAAAAAAAATCAGTAATAAAGTTGTTAGTTTTTTCTGGAATACTTCGGAATTCTTCTCTTCATGGTAATCTCCCGTCTTTTTGCTTTCAAAACCATTAATGTATTTTCTACAAAATTCTCTTTAAAATAGCATGTAAAACTAGTCGTCTTCCCTTTCTTGTAGGGCTTCTTCCTTGAATAGCACTCAGTGGAGAAGGATCCATAATCGTAGAAATTCAATACAACTGTTTACTGAAGTTTTAAAAAGAATTATTATTTACTAAAAAAAAATATCGCGACGAATTGATAACCTCCTCCTTTTTTGAAGTCGGTTAATAAAGTAAAAAACTAATAATGATGAGATATCAAAATATAAAATGTCAGAACTGTCAACAATATCAATTATTATTATAATAGCTGATGTTAATGCTAAAAAGTAGTGTGTGAAACTGACTGCAATCTGACCAATCAGAAGTCTACAGAATTGCCAACTTAATTTCAAATCGCTCCTCCTAGTTTAAAAACAGAGTATAGTAATAGCAATGGTAACAGAATATATTTGTTAAGATAGGACATGTTTGTAACAAGAAAAAACCAGCTTGTCGACTTTTGGAACAGAAAAAAGATCTAGTTCTAGTAGTCGATAGGTATGTCAAATATTTTGTGACATTCTGCCTACTACTTGTTTGAAACGAATATTTCAAGTGGATCCAAAGCCCATTTCGACTTTTGAAGAATGGCATGTCGAACATTGGAGTTATATGATCAGCTTATTTATTTTTTTATTCTTATTTACAGATGGAACATAAAAAGCCAATATGTTAGCTGATATAGAAGATGTGAATAGAGGGATGTTATACAATACTGCAGCAAAAAAAAACGGGGTTCCAAGAATAACGCTAATGGGCAAGTTCCAATTTATAGAAAAATGAGACCATCAAGCAAATTTTCTTCTGAACATGAATTGATTCTTGTTAATTGGGTTAAATCTCTAGCTATTGCATGGAAAAGTGTTTCTAAACTAGCTTTAGAATTAAGGATCACCTTTAATGGAAATACCAAACCCGGAAAAATATGATTAAGCCTTTTTTTTAAACGCCACCAAGATATTACATTTCGAACTGGTCAAAATTTAACTTCTCAAAGAAGAGCTGTTACACAAAATAATGTCAATGGTGTGAGGAAATTGCGAGATATTTAAAGGAGAAGGAAATAGAAAATGTCATAAAAAATCCAAATTGTGTGTTTAACTGCGATGAAACAGCATTCTTTTTAAATACAAAACCAGGCAAAGTTCTGGCTCCCAAAGGATGTAAAACTGTTTATAGTGCTGCTGATAATGATGAAAAATTCAATATAACAACTTTAATTACAGCCAATGCAAATGGAAAACTTGCACCAACTAGTAGTGTACAGGTACACCAGGATACCACAAGGTACAGCTGAAAACTTTCCTTCTGACTGGGCAATAGGAAAGTCTAAAAAAGGGTGGATGACTCAAGAGCTATTCTTTGAATACATTGCTAATATTTTCGTACCCTGCCTTGAAAAGGAAGGTATTCCCAGACCAGTTATGATGTTCATAGATGGACATGTTTCCCACGTATCCTTACAACTTAGTCAATTTTGTATTGACAAAAATATCGAATTAATAGCATTATATCCAAATGCTATACACATTATGCAGCCTATGGATGTATCTGTATTTCATGTCTTAAAAACCATTTGGAGACAGAAAGTTGCAGATTGGAAAATTCAACATAATGGAGAGCCTCCTAATAAGTACAATTTTGCAACAGTAATTAAAGAAGTTCTTCCTCATATTAACGATTTAACAATAAAAAATGTGGCAGTTAAGGTTAAGAGAAAAAAAGGAATATGGAACAAAAAAAGGCAGAATCTAAGCAAAAGACCAAAAAGGCTACAACTACAAAGAAAAGATGTCTCTCGTCTTCTTCCAAGTTCTTCAAATGATTCTTCTATTCTGTTTTCTCTTCAAGAATCTGACATGTTAGAAACATTAGAAAGTGAAGATGAAGAGGACTTATTAATTGCCAATAACATGAGTTATAGTGAATTAAAGAAAGACGATTATATTCTTACCCAATTTATTGGTGGCAAACGAAATTCGTCGGAGTTTAAATTTGTGTGTGTGTTCAAACATTAATTTCATCTGAAAATATTGTTGTTATGGGTTGTAAATGCATTGATAACACTCACAAAGAATTTATAGCAGTTGAAAAGGACATCAGTGAAATACATTTTTAAGAAATTGAATTAGTGTTGAAGGGTGAAAGGGTTAGCTATAGGTTTAAGGAATCCATTGGTGTAACTTTTTAATTAATGAATAAATTAATTAATTCGAAATTGTTTGTTTTATTAACCTCGCTAAGTAGGATGTCAACTACTGGAGCAAATCATGTCAACTACTAGAACTAGCTAATCTGCACCTGTCAACCTTTGGAGCAAATGCAAGAAGTAAAAAAAAAATTACCAAAAAATTAAAACGATATCATTTTAATATGAATGTTTACCTAGACCACACTTAAGGTGTTCTATCTGAATTTGATAACAAAATATACAGGCAAATTTATGAAATTAATTGTAAATTTATCATTATATTTTTCTTGATGTGTCGACTACTGGTATCTTTACCTTATTAACTCAATGAAATAATTTCTCTGTGGCACAAGTGTAGAGATATTTTGTTTTGCAAAAATATATTGCGATTTATTCGTGAATCATTCTATAACAAATACAGGGGTCAGCATAAGTCAACAAATTTGCATAAAAAAAATGCAGCGTCAAAATAAATTTATTCGAAGAAATTACAAAAGGGATTCGAAAAAGGATTAGTTTAAGTGTTCAAATTGATGCCCATTTTAATCAATGCATTGACAGCAACGTCTTGCAACGGAGAGACAGGTCCGGCGAAGCATGTTAAGGTGTCCGCGAAGATTTTCAAATTCTTCTTCAATTGTAGTTTGGAACTCGGGAAGGATGCGTGATCCTCTTGCAAAAACGCGGTCCTTGAGAAGGCCCCACATGAAGAAATCGCAGGGTGTCAGGTCACAGGATCGTGAGGGCCACTCAAAGATTCCTCGTCTGCCTCTCCATTCTCCAAAATGATCATTAAGGAACTCCCGCACACATAACGCGTAGTGCGACGAAGCTCCATCCTGCATGAAATGACGGATGTTCGCGAGTGTTGGATCGTTGTCCATTTGCCCACGTAAATCTTCGAGCATGCATTTCCAGATAAGTTTGGTCAGACTTATGCCGATTTTTCGAGCGTTGCCAGACTTATGCCGACCCCTTTATTTTAAACGGAATAGACATCTCACCAAAACTTATATTAAACTTATATATTCAACATAAAGACAATCTACCTTTTCATTTGGAAGAAAAAAATAACTAAAATTAGCAATTCTCCACTTTAACGCCCTGTATCTCGAAAACTAGTCATAATCTCTTAAAACGGTGTTAAAATTATCATATACTGAAAAAATAGTTAAATTTGAATACAAGGTGTTCGTGGTGTTTTTGAACTTTTATTAAAATAAAATATCTTCCAACAAATAAGCTTAGAGGTACACATATTTTAGTAGTATTGCCTTTCCCAAAAATCAATTAATAAGTACAGGGTTTTGAATTAGTCCTTAACAAATAATTTTATGTGGTTCCCACTACTAAACACCCTGTATAAGAAATGTGTACTGTGCAATATACTGAGTAGTACTTTTTGAAAATATGCTTCCCTGACGTCACAATAGAATTAGTAATATTTTGCAGGTATAGGCAACACATTATACACTACTTGCGACAAATTTACAGTTTTTATATCTATTTCTTAAAAAAGTGTGATCGTAGAAAAAAATCTTGTGTGCATTTTTAGCGAAAAGTTTGTTGCCACTTTCGACAGATTGCTTCGCTACGCGTTGCGCGAACAAATTTCTGTCTCAAGCGGCAAAGTATCACTTTCCGCTTTTAATGCACAAATAGCTATTTTAACTCATCTTCAAAAAAATTGATAAAGGTTACAGATTATTATATAAAAAAATACTAGTATCACAAAATGTTACATTAAAAAAATCCTATTTTAGTTCAGCCTTACCGTTATGGCCAATTGTCATCCACCTGGAGATATAGAAGTAACTGGAACTGGGGAAGGCAAGTCTAAAAATACCGAAAACGATATGGAAGATAATGATGATGATGATAATGTTAACAGTATTAGTGGTGGTAGTGGTAATAACTACTCTGAAAACGTATAAAATTGATTTGGGAAGCAAACAATTTTAATAAAAATAATATTAAAAGTTTGTGAATTAAATTCTGTATTTTTTTCAGTTAATTACTGTTTTTACCTGGAGATCTCCTAATTGCATTAAAATTATTAAAAAGGTGTAACATTTTAAAAGTCCAATTAAAAATGTTATTTTGAATATGTGCCATCCTGTATAGTTTTCGATTAATTTAAATTCAATTATCGCCGCACGCAATATTCCAAAGAAAGGGAAAGTTCTTGAAGTGGGAGCAGAGTTAACCAAACGATTTCGCATTAGATTTTTAAATTTCATTTACTATTGCTTTCTCTTCATATCTGGTGGTGTTTTGGCTGTAAAAGTGGTAAGCATAAAAAAGTATAATGTCGTTATAAAATATCTCGGTAGAAATAATATTCAAATCTATTGTTAGTTATTAGTTTTTTTGATAGTAAAGTTAAATTTTTCTAAATATGTTTTTATGATTCATTCTGGTTGCTAGAACGGCACAATGTTTATAGTCATTAGTTTTTATTGTATCTTGGTTCATTTTTAAAAAGTAGATGTTTCAAATTTAATTTATATCTCGTACAAGAGCCACGTGAAAAACAAAATCTATTTTTGTTTAGAAAACGAACGAATGCAGCTGTAACCTAAACACTGTAAAACTAAACGCTGGAAAATTGATCGAGGAAAACTAACTGGTAAAAGTCGACAGTTAAAACTCACAAAAAGTTACAAAGAAGAACGAGAACAAAGAAAAAGGTATGGTGTTCATCTTCGAGTAACCGAAATAGGCGTGGGTTCCCGATTTGCAGAAATTTCAACTACCTCCGAAAGAAGTTGCCAGCAAAAAGGCAAAAGTGGTAACTACTAGTGGCTAATTTTATGACGAGATTAAAAATTAATACCTGATAAACTTTAAATGATTTGTTTCTGAACAGTTTCATTTTTATCTAAATAAAATAGTTCATTTTTATGAGTATATATGTTGAATCTTATTTTTTAAAGGTTACAACAATTCTCTTTTATTCAAATTAAATTCTGTATAAGTTTTTATTAACTTCTTTCTTTGATAAAGCTAGAGTTTATAATTCTCACTAGCTTTAAAAAAAAAAAGAATTATTGGTGTCCCACATTTCCTAGAAAATTATTACCCCAAAGGTATCTATTAGAAAAGCCGAATTCACGACTGAGAAAAATATGGTCAATGTGCTCATTTATTTCTTTTAATTTTTAAAGGTAAGTAATGTTTGATATTAAATTTCACTGAGCTAGTAAAAATCTCTTTATAAGTGTTTTGAAATTAACATTTTATCACAAGGCAAATTTGCACTGAAACGGGACAAGACAACATTGCAAAGGTTAATAAATAAAATACAGAAGAGAAATAGTTATTTATGTACCAAGTTAGCAAAGTGATTTTTTATTGAACTAGTCTGACGTTATGAGCCGAGCGAGAGAAGCGAACGAGGCGAGTAACAGTAGTTCGAAATTACACACCGAGGTGGGAAGAGTTTCATTCCTGTCGTGAGATTAGTTAGATCACCGAGACGAGAAGCGTCGAGGTTAGCTATGATCTCGAGACAGGAATGAAACTTCCTACCGAGGTTTGTATACCTACTATTCGATTTACAACCATCATATTTCGATCAAAGTTAATAAATCTCTGTTTCATTCTGAACATACCTAAAATATTACATTTAACGAAAAATTACCAAGCGCGCGGTTTTCTCAGAATAAACAAGTAAATATATTGTTACTGTGATTACGGGGTAAACAACTATCACCAATATAAATAAATGTCAGATAAAGCCGGATATTAAATTCGCGAATAATAAATATGAATAAGTAGTTTGTTTTATTTTAATTCATTGTTGTTTTTTATTGTTTGCCATTAAATAGGTATTATAAAATTTGTCAAAAAAAATGTGTTATTTTTTAAATATAAGAAATATTCATCTAGAATAGATGAAATGGGGGCGGGAAGTAGAGGTGTGTAATGTGACACTTCCCAACCTTCAATGACGTTAGTAATGACAACATTACATATATGGTTGTAAATAAAGATAGTTTACTGACGTGCTACATACAAAATTTGATCGGCAACAGTCAATAATTATAATTAATAAAAAAGGAGATATTATAACATTACATTTTAGTAAAACAAAGTAAACAAACAAAAAAATAATAGCGAAATCAGTTACAGACCATTACTGTCGTAGGGTCATGGCTATGTATATCGTCGTTAAGATGGCAGATGGGCTGGACGTGGTCGGTGTCGGTCCAGATAAAAATTGTCTTTACTGTAGTAAAAAAATATCAAAAGGTGTTAAATGTGATGCAGTTTGCCATTTAAGTTGCTCTCAACGTAAAACAAGCTGTGATAAACATCAATTTTTAACAAAAAAGCTGATGGACGCTGAAGAAGTGAAATGCACCGATTCGAAGTTTATCGCATACAAGGTAGAAAATAAATATATTAAAGAACTATTAAATGAATTAAAGAAAAATGAAATATTTCAAATAAATAACATTTGTTGACTCAAAGAATACATGAACTTGAACAGAAAATCAATGGAAAAAGTCAGAAGGATGAAGAAGAAAAAGCTACAAAAACGTTCAGATACCATAAAAAAAAAGGCAAACAAAACGGCAAGAGCAAGTGGAAGTGACAATAGCTCAGCAGCCGAAAGCCGTGAATATACGCAGAAAGAAATTACGAATGTTGCTGGAGGACACAGAAATGAAGAGCCAGACAGAAATTCTAGGAATAAAAAAGACATTTTGAGATGGTTAAGAATCAAGATGAAAATAAACAAACAAATATTATCCAAGAACCTTAGATAAAAGAGACCAGAGATATAACATACACCTGCGCACATGTTGCCAATGTAAAATGAAGTGATTTTTTAAAAAATTGGTGAAAATAATCAAAATAATGTGAAAAAAGTACCTGAGTAACATGAGTGACAAAAAACATCAAAGCAAGATTTAGGTCGTTCCAGATTGTAAAACAGGATAAAAATCAAATGTAAAACATGGTGGCATTTTGAACTTAAAATTGAATAACTAGAACACTTTAAATTGCTAAAACACCAACAAATAAATCAAAAAACAGCTGTCAATGGTGGTTAAACTCAGGCGGAGGTGAGTGTTGAATGGAAAAATCGGAGCAATTCGGGTGGCGTCGTGCGAACAATGATTTTCAATTGGTGGGTTACTTGGGGTTAAAATAGACAACATGCGCAGTTTGCAATGTTACATCTTCGGTCTCTTTAACCTAAGCCAAAAACAAAGTAAAATGCAAGAAAATGTAATGCACCAGTACGTTCAACTAAATGATACAAAACCGAATCAAGATGGATGGGAAATCAAATAGAGGAGAGTTCAAGAAAAAATGTGGGCGAATCGAACGAGGACACTAATTTCAAGGGTGCTACAAATAATAAACCAAAGTGTTATATGTGCATCTACAGAGTAGGAAAAGCAGTGAATGAAAAGGACATTACATCCTTTATAGGAAACAAACTAAACATACAGCAGAATAATATGGAAGACAGCGAGCAAATTATTGGGAAGAAAATTCAGTGCTATAGTATAAATACAATGTTTCATAGTTGCCACAGACTTCAGTCACAAGGATAAAATGTATACTCCTTTCTGGCCTAATGGGGTATGCTATAGAAGATTTGAAGAATACTATGAAGATTTTAAAATCAGAGATGTTATCAATGACGATGGAGACAATATAGGAAATTTACAATGATCGGGAATCTGAAAATCTGCCCAGTCGAAAGTGATTACGTAAAAGATGTAATTGTAAAAAGACAAAATGAATGTGAAAACCAAAATAATTTAAATATTTTTATTTGAAAGCAGTGATGTCTATCATGCACTTGAATAATATTCAGGGTATGGCAGACAAAAAAATCCCCAACTAGAAATATTAGTAGATGATCAGTTGCCTGACTTCTTATGTATTTCAGAACATTGGCTTAATTCAACAGATATAAAGCATTTTAGGTTAAATAAATTTGAACTAATTAATAGCTATTCTAGGGATGTCGCTACACATGGGGGTGTCTGTATATTAGCAAAAAATGGCATCATAAGTAAACCAGTTATGTTTAAAAAATGTATTGAAAAGCTGTTGGAGGCTACCATAGTAAAGGTTGACATTTTTGTCAAAAAAACTATGCCGCGTTTGAATATCCGCTCGAGACGTAAAAATGCGTCTGATGTGGATTTTCAAACGCGGCAATATTATTACGATATACGGAACTCCTGATAGTAAGGTAGATGTCTTCCTTGATGGGGTAAATAATATGATGATAGATATTTTTAACAAAAATTACATTTATATATTATGTGGGGACGTTAATATTGATATATCAAATAGCATGGAATCACGTAAACTAAAGAACATATTTTGTGAGTTTGATATGATTAACCAGGTAGACAAGCCGACAAGGCTTAACAAAGGCATAGATGTGATATACTCAAATTTACCATCCCTGTCCAGCTAGCACAAAAACATCCCATCTACGTTAATAAGCTGCAATTTTAGGCTCTTTAAGCCCGCATGGAATGTACTATTAATGTAACCGTAATATCCATGCCACCTCCGAATGTCCACAACGGCAATACTTTTATAGCACATCTCGTAGAGGTTACAAAGTAAAGTTCGGAAAACATTACACTAGCATTTTTAAGGTACTTACCCTGAAAGTTGCTCTGAAACTTTCTATAGATGTTATAATGTGAATTAGTTCTACAGCATTATACAGTGTATGGACTTAACTATACTTGTGAAAATATTTTTTTTAAATTGAAAAAGTAATTCTTCAAATTTCTTTTACTTGTTAAATAAATTCGATTCACATTAAGAAATTATGAAAAATAACTTTTTTTAATTTAAAATAAATATTTTTACAAGTATAATTAAGTCCATCCATGGACACACTATATTGTTCTTTGTGTAATGTAATACAGAGAGGCTGAAATTGAGGTATAGTAAAA